CAGCCACAAATTTGTTCTCTGTATACTGACCTTGGTTTCCCATTTTGTTTCTAAATATATAAATAGTTTTAAATGCTATCCAAGTGGACAGAGATCTATATGATCCCCTTTTGGAAAAAAAGTTTTTATAACAAAATTCCATCATTTTTTTCCTTCTGTATTGTCCCCAATTGAGCAAGGTAAATATTTTGGACCAATATTTTGTATTCACCAATTTCATATCCAAAGATTCTCCTATGTACTTTTTTTCTTTTTTACCACAATTTAACACGTTTTCAATCGGGATTTATCTTATAATGATTACAATGATTGCCGTAATGTTTTTTTTCCTTATTGTTGGAGATAGATGATAGATAGATATACAATTAATCTTAAAATCAATGATTTCTTACATCAAAAGATATGTGGTAATTTACCAGCTTTGCCATCTTTATGGTCATCTTAGTCACTGGAAGAACCCCTTTCATTGTCACTCATTTTGAAACCTCAGGGATTGTACCTTATAATTTTTCTTAGCTTCATCAGTTGGAGTGAAGCGAAGTGAGCTTAGTGCAGAATGATATAAATGATAGTACTTCTTATATCAAAATCCTTATACTTTGAACAGACACTTTATCAAGTGGCTGAGCAAACACAGCAGCTTCTGAAGTATTTGAAGAGCCATTGAATTTAAGAGTCTTCATGCCTTCACTGTTCTTTAATCTTATTAGTACAGGTCCTCAGAACATGGCTCTTCCTTGGCTCAAATTTAAGGACACAGATCATAAAATAATGCTTAAAACATCTTACCTACTTCAACCTATTGATAGATTTATCAAATACTTAGGAAGCTCTTGAATTTAAAATAAAAAGAAATCATAATAGTTTAAAGTGACAATGAATTGGATAGGGACTTATTTGATCTCCTTTTAAAAATCTCCTTAAAATAATTCTATCACTCTGTTATTCTTTTCCTACTGTATTTTCCCAAGTTGAGCAAAGAAAATTTTTGGTCCAGTATTTTGTCTTCACTCAGTAAAATGACCAAATGAACCTAATGAACAAGAAATGGATGTGGAACACATGCAGTAACTTTCATAGATATACAAACCCCATAGACTTCAGTCCTTCAATCCAAATCTTTTAAATTTCATTAGCTTAATCATTTAGATGACTGTTACTTTTTCTGCTTTTCCTATTTTTGTTGCCATGTTCATTATGGCCTCTTTATTCTTAGATCTCAACCCTAGAGTTAAACAAACTTCATATGAAAACACTTTGTCTGATTCTCAGCATAAAATAGGTGTCCCCTTATAGAGAATAAGGTGATCAGATCTATATTTGACTTATGTGTATATTCCAGCTCTTCTACTTTTGTTTGCCTGAATTGAGCATCCTTGTCCTTACACCTGAATACAGTCAGTTGTACATCCCAAATCTCACTGACACCTGTGTCTCTCCATTTGCACTCTGTGAGTTTAGCCATATTACTATCCATTTACCATTGTTAGACTCCTCACTGGTTTCTCTGACTTAGTATTTCCCTTGTCTATTCTATTCTACCCTGACCTCCAGATTAATTTTCTTAATTGTCATAGTCTTTCTCAAAATTGTCAATATTGTCATACTTAATTATCAAAATAAATTTTAACTAGCTCAGCCTTCAAAACTTTATACACAGAATGTCAATCCTACCTTCCCTCTTGGCTGTATCTCTCATTAAATATTGTTTTCTGCTTCATTTATAGATACTCTTGTGTATGTCTAATTTCTCCTTATAGGCTATAAGTAGCATGTAAACTAAGGCCATGTCTAAGTCATTTTATTAATCATGCACAGTTCCTTCCTCATACCTTGTTTTATTTATTAAGTGAATAAGGGAGTAAAGATAGTTTATTCGACTCTAGTATTAAGAAGTCATGTAATCTGAGTCCTATTGGTGAGTCAAAATTGCCATCCTGAGTGTCAGTTTCAAAGATGTATGCAAACCATTATGAGAAGGCACACCACCTGATGTAGGGTGGTAACTGTGAACCAAATGGCGTGTTGAGACGTCCTGCTAAATGTATTCTTCCTCTTTTGGAATTGAAAACCATAAAAAGAAGCTAGTTTAAATAAGTGTAAATTAGCTCCGAGTTATATTTTCAGAGAGATTTTTAGTGTAATATGGGGGTTCTAACGGGTTTGATGCTGTGTGGGTCCCATGTCCTGTGCGTGTGTACACACACAATATTAAGAGGCAGTGAAGGATGCCGGAGTGGGAGAACAGGGAAAAAATCCAGTTGCTCAACTAACGTATTTAAAAATTTTTGTTTTAAGCAATGTTCCTAAAAGGTGGGGGTTTTCCTGATATTTGAATAATATGAGGTAGTGATTTATATGAATAACTGTAAAGCTCTTTCACGATCATTACTTATAATTATTAGTGTTTTAAATGGTTGGACTTGCTATGGTTTAAGGGTTGCACTTTCTAAGGGAGGTGGTTGTATTCCCTGGGTCATGCAGACAGGAGGCTGGGGAATTCCAAAGTGGCCATGGCAGAATTTTTTCTTTAAATTATAGATCAGAGAAATAGGTCTAAAATGGTGTTTTGAAACTTTCATTAAGGGTTTTATAAGCTTTTCCTTTACCACTACAAATGATATATATTAAGTGAATAGAGTCTAACTATTTTTAAGTATGATGATCCCTTTCAATGTCAAAAAGAAATGGATCCTTATATAAAAATTTTTCTGAAAGAACAATTTCTGTCTTTGATTGAGAAACTATATAGGTACAAACTTATCATAAATTCAGTGACTTTTTAAATTTATATTTTATTAATAAAAAGTGCATGTTATTTGAAATACAGTATCAAATGTGTATGATAACAATGCCTGATGCTCATGTAGCTTCCCAGTCCCTTACAATAACAGAATCACTCATTTGGTGAGGCCCTTATAATAGCCCAGTTACCAGTGTTTTCCATCCCACAGATTGTGACCCACTGCTTTTCATGATACACTTGATTTCTTCAGACACTGTTGTTAACCAGTAATGTTTTGTTTTTGCTTTTTGAAGATTTGTACAAGTGCTTAGTTAACTAGGATGAAGAACAAAAGCTAAATGTTTGTTCTAATAGTTCCTTTCATTCTACAATGTTTCATTTGTTTACTGTGTCTCCAATTAATTATTTCCACTATCCATATTTTACCATTAAATAAATTGGTGTATTCAAATTATTTCTAGCTATATTTAGTGGCTTTAGAATGTGCCTGTGCCCAGTTTTGAATTTCAGTCTCTCTGTCTGTCTGTCTGTCTGTGTGCTTCTTTCTCATTTAAACACGCTAATATGTTGATTATCAGTTTGAATTTGAATCAGAACTGGCTGACAAGAGTCAACTAAAAGGGACCCACCACCCCCAATGAAAGTTCCTGTGAGTCCATTGGGATCTCCTACCCAGATAGGGTTCCCTAGGCATGAAAATGATGGCCGTTGTTTGTTACCTACATGTACTTTTAATGAGATAATTTTTGCTCTGATACAAATAGGCAAACATTTCTGAGATTAAAGATTTTTGTATTCGAAAAAGAATACAAAAAAGGGCTTAAACCTGTCTATATCTCTCCTTAGGCTAAAGAAATTTAAGAGTTCTTAGCATGGATTAACTTGGAAAATATTATGCTAAGTAAAATAAGCCAGTCAGAGAAAGACAAGTACCATATGATTTCATTTGTATGTGGAATATAATGAACAAAATAAACCAACAAAGAATATAGAAACAGACTCATAGATGCAGAGAACAGACTAAGAGCTGTTAGAGGCAGGGTGTTGGGGGACAGGGTGAAAAAGGTGAAGGGATTAACCAAAAACAAAAAAAAAACAAACAAACAAAAACTCAGACACAGACAACAGTATGGTGATTACCAGAGGGAAGAAGGGTAGGGGGAGGTAAAAAGAAGGTAAAAAGTGGGGGAAATGGTGATGGAAGGAGACTTAAGATTGGGTGGTGAACACACAACACAATATACAGGTGATGTATTACAGTATTATACACTTGAAACCTATATAATTTTATTAACCAATGTCACCCCAATAAATTCAACTAAAAAAGAAATGTAAGGTTTTTAAATGTTGGTGTATATTTTCTTACGGAGCTTTGTATCAACATGTCATGTCTACATATTCTGGGCATAATATATTTGAACATAGTAACTATAGCTTTTATTTTGTTGTAAATAGGATAATGCTAACATGCCTAATAACTCAATGAAGAATCAGATGTGAAATTGTAGTAAGATCACATGATTGCACCGTGGATCCTGTGGCTTGAGGGATAGGATTATTGACCTGATCATGTGTGTGAATAGCAGCATGCCGCTGGGAACCCTGCGAGGGGTGAGCCTGCTGGGCCTGCCTTCTTCAGACCGCATGTGGACTCTTGGTTCACTTCTGTGTTCCTCACTTTAATAACCAGGATCTAGAAAACTAGAATGAATTCAGAGATAAGGAAGGAGCAAAGAGCCATATCAAATGAGGATGATCAAAGAGATTATATTCTGAGATAATTCTGAGATTATATTTAATATATAGTTACTAATAATAGATTTAAGACATATGGAGATAACATTAAGTATTTGAATGGTTACTGTATTTTGAATTTATCTCTTATGGATTTTCTGGGTAGAAATAATCCCAAGCAGTCAAATTGCTCTTCGCACTGTAGAATTTCTAACAAACAGAATGGGTTGCATTCAGAGAGATGTGGATTCTTTATTAAAGGTACATTTGGCCCGGGGTAGATGGTCAGGAAATAAGCTGTGACAGAAAGATACAAGGACCCCCTTGGGGAGTGGACTGGATTACCTGCGGAGCCCCTTTTAAACATGAGAATCTCTGTAGTCTTTCAAGATGGAGTATTTAGTGCAACTTTTGATTTCACAGTTTTTAGAATACTCACTTTTAAACTGCTGTCTGAAAATGTGTTTTAGAATGTCTCATTCAACTCTCAAACTAGTCTGATTCCTTAAATACTGTACATTCAAAATTGTGCTAGATTCAGATGCACCAGAATATGGAGGACACCAGAGACTGGACCACAACACCGATTTCTTTTCTGAGGCTTTTGAACATAATGGCCTTCCCCATTCTCTCTTGGTAAGAAATGTTTTTAAGATATTTTCATTGCACTTAAATTTAATCTTTTATTTTTAAAGTAATGTTTTAGTCCAAAGAAATAATTTTTCAATGAGTAAGCAACATGCCAAAATGTGGGGTGAGGTGAATGGGAAATGACGACTTTGCTGAAAAACCAGATGCGGTGTATGGTCCTCAAATAAACTAGGCTTTGGAAAACTTATGGTAAGGGACATTTGGTGGACAATTGAGGAAGCTCAAATTTAATAAGATTAAAAATTATGTCTCAGAAAATAAGAGGAAAGCATTTTTTTATTAATCTTGAACATTTCTGTTTTTAATGCCACAATACACTTCCCTATGTTCCTGCTCCTCTATAATATTTTACATGAAGCAGATTTCTACATTATTTACTGTCCAATGAAATTTGATTGTAAACACCTTAAAAGAATCAATAAAACATATTTTTTCTTTTATGTAGTCATTCTAGCTATAAAATTTTCTGAGATCCTCATATTACTGAGGAAAGCATTAAATTATATAACTAGTTTTTACTTTGTGTTTTCAATGCAAATGAAAGAATATTGCTTTAAAGTACTAGATTATGTTATTTTTTTTAAAGTTAGAATTTAGAAATTCTTCAAATTTGAAAGAATTCTTCATTTGTTTCATGGCCAGGTAAGAAGCTGAAGTCCACACCTACATCCTTTATGTTTTTCCTTGTCCTGAGTAGTCGTATCCCTGCTTCTCTGTCTCTCATCTTCTGCCTCTTCTATTCTTGTCTCAGGCTTGCATTTTTTTTTCCAACATAGGAGGCCTTGGATTAAGATTTGTGTCACTTTCATGAGGCCTGGATAAAGCTAACAAATCTATCGATAGCTTTATTATAGCTCTTAAATTCTTTCATTGTTTTCAAAAGTCTAGGTGTAAGTCAAGCAGGGGAATCTGTGTGGGACCCCCAGCTTCCTCACTTTTCTACTGCATTCCCATGTCTTAGAGTGGTGCCAGCACCTCACTCTGTAAACCTCCATATTGTATGCAGAATGGATGTCTCAAAGATAGTGGCATAAAATAAATGAAAAATGCAAGATTAAGTTGTTGATTATAGGCTCCAAGGAAAGTGCAATGACCACAGGAGACTTAGGTGTTACTCTAAGTGTATGTGGTATGTGTGCATATGGGTGATACTCGTGATATTGATATCTTTTTTTTTTTTTTAAAGAGATGCTATTTACTTAATTTTACTTAATTTTAGAGAGAGGGGAAGGGAAGGAGAAAGAAGGGGAAAGAAATATCAATGTGTGGTTGCCTCTCACACGTCCCCACCGGGGACCTGGCCTGCAACCCAGGCATGTGCCCCAACTGGGAATTGAATTGACGACCTTTTGGTTCTCAGGCCAGTGCTCAGTCCACTGAGCCACACCAACTGGGCATTGATATATCTTTTTTTTAAATCATGTTTATGCTATGACAGTTGTCTCAATTTTCCCCCCTTTGCCCTCCTCCACCCATCCCACCCCGCCCTCCTCTCCCACAGTCAATTCCTACCCTGTTGTCCATGTCCATGGGTCATTCATATATGTTCTTTGTCTAGTCCCTTCCCCTTCTTTCCACCATTGTCCTCCTTCCCCATCCCCTCTGGTCATTTCCAGTCTGCTCCATGTTTCCTTGCCTGTGGTTTATTTTGTTTGTTAGTTTCTTTTGTTAAATAGATTCCACTTAGAGGTGAGATTATATAGTATTTGTCTTTCACAGACTGGCTTATTTCACTTAGCATAATATTCTCCACTTCCATCCATGTTGTCACAAGGTTGGAGTTCTTTCTTTTTTTTTTAATGAAGATTAATTTTATTTATTTATTTTTTTAAATATCAAGATCCATTATAAAATATTAAATATTTTAAATCCATTATAAAGTCTCAGCAATCATGACACCTGCACAGAAATAATCAAGTAGATCAATGAAATATAATGAGCATTCTAGAGACAAATGTATATGTCTTTCTAACAATGTAACATATGATGAAATGAATATTTCAAATCAATGGGGAAAATAAGGCTTATTCAACATATAAGGTGCACGGATCATTATTACTTGAAATAAAACAAATATAGAGCCCTATTTCACACATTATACAAGAAATATTCAGGTGAGTTAAAAATCAATATGTAAAATCTAAGGCATTTTAGGAGAAAATACAAAATAATATTTTTCTCACCCTAATGTAACAAATTCAGACCCAGAAACTATAAGGTAAAATATTGACAATATGACTATATTGAACATTTAAGATTATGCAGTAATATTCATGTAAAAAAAAGTTGAAGAACAAATAATAGAATAGGAAAGTATTTGCAATTCATCTAAAAAAGCGTTAATAGTTTTTGTTTGTTTGTTTTTTTAGGGAAATAAATCTACAAACATTTAATCAAAAAATGGATAAAGAATACCAGAAAGTCATTTAAAGCTTTTTAAAAATAATATGCAAGAAATATACAAAAACAGGTTTAGTTTCAACAAGTAATCAGGTAACAATTAAGATAACACATTGTTACAATGAGATTAATAAGTATTAAAATATTGGTAATATCAACTATTGGTGACTGTGAAAGGAACTGGGTATTCATAGACTCTTCATCTTCATCTTCTTAAAGCAGTCCCTTTAGCATATCTTGCAGTGCTGGTTTGGTGGAAGTGTATTCTTTTAGCCTTCTTTTGTCTGGAAACTCCTTATTTTGCCTTCCATTTTAATTGAGAGCCTTGCTGGGCAGAGCTGTCTTGGTTGCAGTCCTTTGCTTTTCATTACTTGGAATATTTCTTGCCAATCCTTTCTGGCTTGTATTGTTTCTGTTGAGAAGTCAGCTGCTAGCAATATCAGGGCTCCCTTAGATGATACTACCTGTTTCTCCCTTACTGCCTTTAGGATTCTCTGTTTGTCTTTGCTATTTGCCATTTTAATGATGCTATGTCTTGGAGTGGGCCTCATTGGGTTCCTCTTGAATGGGACCCTCTGTGCTTCCTAGACTTGTGTGGCTTTTTCTTGCCTCAAATTAGGGAAGTTTTCCATCATTCCTTTTTCAAACAGGTCCTCTATCCCTTCCTCATCCCCTTCTCCTTCTGATATCCCTGTAATACTGATATTATTACATTTCAGGTTGTCCTGCATTTCCCTCAGCACCTCTTCATTCTTTTTTAGTTTTTTTTCATTTTCTTGCTCTTTCTGGGAGCTTTTTTATACCTTATTCTCCAGCTTGCTGATTCGATCCTGTGCTTCAGATAGCCTGCTTTTGATTCCTTCTATTGTGTTCTTCAATTCAAAAATTCTATTCTTCATTTCCTCTTGGGTCTTATTGATAGTTTCTATGTCCTTTTTCATGCTGATATAATTTGCAGTAAGTTCCTCATAGTTTCCCTGTAGTTTTTGGAAATTCTCTCTGAGCTCACTGAGCTCAGTGAGCTTCCTTAGAACCGTTGTTTGGAACTCAATATATGATAGCTTACTTGCCTCTATTCCATTTAGTTCTCTCTGTGGGGATTCCTCCTCTCCCTTCTTGTGGGGAGGGAGGTGTTTCTTTGTCTTCCCATCATTTATGAGACTCTTCTTTTTTTGCTTCTGCTTCTTAAATTGATCTCTCTTGATTTCCTGACTTTGTGGTATGAACTTCTGTGGTAGGAGACCTCTGTTTTTGTTTTTGTTTTTCTTTCTGGATCTGACTCTGATGATGTCAGATGTTGACCCTGTCTGACCTTAAGCAGTCTGTTTGAGACTTCCAGGAATCTACTGTCTGTGGCTCTCTCCTTCAGTTGTTAATCTAGTCACTCTATACTCAGTAGTCAGGTTTAGACACCACAAGGCGGGTGGTCAGAGGAGTTGTCTGCCTGAGCCAGGTGGCTGCTGCTATATGAGGTAGGAGTCAGCACTGGGATCCCACTGGCTACTTTCTCCATTCTCTCCCAAAAGCCTCTGCCTCTAGTCTCTCCTCAAGTGCCTCTAGACCACTCTGTGCCCCCTTTAGACAGGTATCTACTATCTGTGGCTGCCACTCTGTACTCAGCTGTCAGGTTTTAGCACTATCAGGCCTAGGCAGAGCCTCCTGGGGGTGGGGCTATTGGGTCCTCTCATGCTCTGGGGAGTGGTCTGCCTGAGCAAGGTGGCTGCAGCCGTATGGAGGGTGAGTCAGCACTGGGATCTTGCCAGCTACTCTCTCAGTTCTCCCCCCAAAGCCTCTGTCCCTAGTCTCTCCTCAGGCGCCTCCAACCCACTCTGCCCCCGCCTTTGCCAGAGACCAGGGTAAGTGGCTGCAAACAAAAATGTATGCATTGGCCCTTTAAACGGCTCGTTGAGTGTCCAGCCACCTGTCTCTGGCAGAGAGCAACCCTGCCGCTTTTCGCAGCTCGCTGTTTCCCCTGTACTTTTTGGGCTCTGGGGCCATAGGCTGGAGATCCCCACTTATAGTTTAGATCCCGCTCTTCTCAGGGGGATCCACCCGGCTGTTTAAATATCCTTCTGATGCTGCTGCCCGTGGGTGCCCAGTCCACCTTTTTGAGTCTCTACAACACTCCTTACCAGTTAGGTTGTGCTAAAGCTGATTCTTCTGTCTGTCCCAGATTAAAAGGCCCCTCTCTCGCTATTGTTCAGTTGTTTGTTCCATGTAAGTTCTCCACAATTTAGTTGTAATTCCAGATTGGTCCTGGGAGGAGGTCAGTGTGACTTCCTCTCACTCCTCCACCACCTTGATTCCCCCAATATATCTTTAGATATAAATCTATGTACCTAGTCGTTTTTAAGAGAGAGGGCCCGAAAGTGCTATCAGAATCTTCAAAGAATGATTGCTATAGTTTGTCAAAATGTTCAGTTTTACCATGTAAAGTAAGATTGACAACAATAGTTTCTGAAATGAATAAAAAAAATTATATTAAAGCTCTGAAATAATCAACAAGTTAGAGACCCCCTGAAAGATTGAGGAAGATGATTCATCTTGTAAAGAGGCATCACAGAGAAACAGCAACTGATTGTGAT